TGTTTAATTGGTTCTTGTTGAAGGTTACACCTCAGTATCCAATTAAGCGTTTTTGAACATTGGTCCAATTGATTATGGTCTTCTATGAGACCGAATGGTGATGAGAAAGTATTTCGATCTACCTATGAAGTACGTGAATCTTGAATGTATAGTGCTAAAAAGTTTGCAAGGTGTAACATTATTGATTGGAATTTGGTGGAAGAAAATTGAGAATGTTAATTTGAATCATAGAAATATTGGAAGATCTGAGGGTCCTTATTCTGTACTATTCATCTCTTTTGGCCACTGTAGGGTTTATCAAATTATTAAATATCTTGAAAACCTATCATTTTTATCTGTGCAATCAGACTTATATTTTTACATTTTAATTTTTATACATCCAGGCTATGATGAAGGATCAATTTGCGAATTACGTTGTTCAAAAAGTACTTGAAACTTGTAGTGACCAAGAGCGTGAACTGATACTGTCTAGAATAAAAGTTCATCTGAATGCATTGAAGAAATACACATATGGGAAACACATCGTAGCTCGCGTAGAGAAACTTGTTGCTGCTGGGGGTATGATCTTCTTTCCTTTACTTGTGAATACATATCGATTGCCTTTCAAGATGAATTCATATATTTGAGCTTCCAAGGAAATTTTCATGACAAGTGTACTTGGTGCGGATGTTTGGTTAAGCTTAAAAATGTTTACTTATATGAAATAACTTGATTTAAACTAAAGATTTGTTTAACTGGTTAGAGCTTGGAAATATGCAAGTTACTTTTGACTGTAAGGTGACTTTCAAAATATGTAACCGCTTTACTAAAAGTAAGATATGCAAGTGCGAAAACTAAAAGTTACACGAGTAACTTTTACTTTGAAGTTTAGCCAAATAAGCTGTGAATCTTTCCTCATTAACGGTAGGGTGAATCATGATGGTTTATGGTGTAAAGTACTTTTTACTGTGCGTGTCAATTTCTTGTATAGACGTCAGAAAGATGTTAAGGATTGGAAATGAACTGGGTGTAATTTATGTTTGATATGTAGTATTGAACAAGACTCGGCACATAGTAAACAAGATTTTATCTTCATCCTTAATACTCCTACCATTCTATCTTCCGTCAAACATGTCACTATAACATGTTATTTCAATTTTTTGCAGAAAGGAGAATTGCTCAATCCCTTCACTCCGCTTAGATGCCATAGGAAAAAGGTTGTACAGCTAACTGAGGCTAGTTTGAGCTACCTCGCTTCCTTCTATTTCTGCTGGGCATTGTGCTCTGGCCAATACCTTGTCTGCAAGGAAGGCATGAGAGGATTTCAAATAAACTTGTTGCCTGTACTTAAAAACTGTACATTGTTTAGTTTAAGTTTATACATAGATTCTAGTAAGCTGAGGCTCGGAGGTTAAATGTTCCCGATGCCCGTGCAGTTTTAAGATGACAATACAAGTTCCAAGGTTGTAAAATGACAAAAGGGAAGGTAGTTTACATTGCGACGTGACTGTACAAATTATGGCGTATGGAGAGTGAGTTTTATCGGTGAGGCGAGGATATAACGTCTACTGTTATCTGAAATTTTTATTATATGGCCAAGTAAGCATTCGGTTCTTTTAGATTGTCCATGATTTCATTTTCTGATTTAACCAGGAATTTCATTATGTATGGAATGAGGGACCATTTCAAGGTCAAACATGGTCCAGTTTTGGTGGTTGTACGTAGAATTCAACTATCGTCCTCGGCAAAATCGGGCTTTAAGATAAAACTTATCAGAAGCTTAGGGCTTGTTTGGCGGGATTTCACTTATTTTTTTGTAGAAGAGTTTTTTAAAGCTATCAAAGGTACTGGACAAGAAATTTTTTTCGAACAGAATTGAACATAGCTTCTTAGTTTTGAAAGGTAGGTTTTGATTTTTCAAAAAAATTTCTCAAATGAGTCTTAATAGAACTATGTGATTTTAGAGGAATTTATTCGTTATTTATTTATTTTTTGGAGATTAGTGAAATAACGATGCCTCTGAATTGGTCAGTTCGTTAAATGGTAGTTATATAGACAAAATAATTTGCTATTAAATTGCCTTAAATAAATATATTCTCCAAGTCCCAAAAGGAAAATTTCTCAAGAATATCAACCTTAGCACAAAATTTAGTGTTGAAACTGAGTCGAGTTTAGATGTTATGTGTTGTGCTGAACTCTTCTAAAATAATTGATCAATTGGTCTTTGTCTGTCTATGCAATCAACTTCAAAATTATTGAAAAGAGTTCTGCCATTTATTAGTATTCATCTCCTTCTTCCTTAGATATGAATGTTTGGGCTGACGACTTGTATAAGCGCCTCAACAGTCGAAATTACCCACAAAAAGTAAAACTCGCAAGTTCAGTTGATCCTTGAAGCCATGAATAGTAGAAACGACACGACTAGAAGCATTTTTGGTTAGCAGTATTGGACAGTACAATAGACACGGTCTTAACTTACCATGAATGTCTAATGCTACTCATCAAGCACTTTTGAAACATAGGACGGGAATTTATTTACATGTTGTAGATTGAGCTGTTATAATACAAGGACAATACTAGTAAATATATGAGGACAAAGAGAAATTGTTCTTAAAAGTGTTCCTTGGAAACAATACAAAGAGCAGTTGAAAAAGAGAATAAAAAAAAAAAAAAAAAAGAGCCCAAAGGAGTCCAGAAAAAAAAAAATTAGAAATTGTTGGTGGAGGCGGTAAGGTCAAAGGTGCCAAAATCAGCAAGTAAACTATTCAAGATAGAAGCTTGAGATAGTGTAGTTTCCAAGTATTTAGTTGCTTCAGATCTTCGAGTAAATCTAACAATAAAGCTAATGGAGTATTAGGAAGTAAATCCTTTATTAGGAGAATGTTTCTTTGACTATGTAAATATGTAGCTATTTTTGTGCAGTTTGTTATTCCTTCCTTTCTCATTGCTTGATTTACGTGTAAATAACTTGTAACAAATCCCTTAATTATGGGATCATCTTTGGCTATTAAAGGCCAGGTAATAGCAATAGCAATACAAGCTTTTCTAATAATTTTATTATGGTATCAGAGCATTAGTGTTCTTAAGAAAATATTTTTTTTTTTTTTCCGCTTTGTTTCTCGACATTGTCCGCCGCTCAATTTCTCAAGGTGATTTCAATCATCATTTGTCCTTCAGTGTTTGTTCCCTATTGTTAGTGTCCACAACACGCTATGGCCAAAGACGGTGAAAAGTCAGACGGACGTCAGCCATCCATTAACCGATCCCACCTCGCCATACTTCCTTCATCCATCGTCCAATCCAGGTTCTGTTTTGAATCAAATTAAATTGAAAGGAGAAAATTATTCTGCTTGGGAACAAGCTATTACTTTGGCTTTGCAATCTCAAAATAAATTAGGTTTCATTGATGGTTCTATTGCCAAACCTGACAAATCTGATTCAAATTTTGTCGCTTGGGAAATAGTTAACTCTATGTTATGTTCCTGGATTGCCAATTCTCCATATGATTCTATTAGAGCCACTGTGTCTCGACTTAGTACTGTTAAAATATTATGGGAGTGTCTCAAAACTCGTTATTCTATTAAGAATGGCCCCAAAGTTTATAAAGTTTGGTCTAATCTTACTTTGACTAAACAAGCAGGTGCTTCAGTCATGTCATATTATACACAAGAAGCAACCGACAGTCGCTCGCTCTTCCGCTGAAGTTGATATTTTGACCAAAGCTCTCGGCCATCCCCAGTTCAAGTTTTTATTGGGCAAGTTGGGTGTTCGAAATCCCCACGCTCCAACTTGAGGGGGAGTATTAGGAAGCAAATCCTTTATTAGGAGAATGTTTCTTTGACTATGTAAATATGTAACTATTTTTGTGCAATTTGTTATTCCTTCCTTTCTCATTGCTTGATTTACGTGTAAATAACTTGTAACAAATCCCTTAATTATGGGATCATCTTTGGCTATTAAAGGCCAAGTAATAGCAATAGCAATACAAGCTTTTCTGATAATTCAAAGTTTATTATGGAGTGACAAGAAACAATCATACGGCTGACGCCAAATTTACATTGAATAAAGCACAGTTTCTAGCTCTATGAGCCAGAGGGAGAATAGTCAAATGTATGAATTATCTTCTCTACGAATGTGATTTTTATTTTGGTCCTTCTAGTCTCTAATTTGGAACAGAGATGGAATTGATTCAAACAACCTGATCCTCTTCCCTTGAGATCTCTAACGACGTCCCCCCGCCCCACACATTATTTAGGAATTCTTGATGGTATCAAGCTAGAACCACATGTTCTTCCTTAATATCATTATTCAACACCAAAGAATTTCCTGCACGTTCTAGTGCTCGAATAGCATAGAGACTGAACGACTCTTGTGAAATTATGTCAAAACTTCCACATATCATGTGTAAGTAGGAGACATCTCTATATTTTTTCCGAGGAATATCAATTGTCCTTAAGTAGTCAACCAAAAGAAAGAATACTTGAGATTAGACCGTTACAGCTACTGAAGAAGACAATCATTTCGCGACTAACGGAAGATAACCTCATTGAAATCTATTGATTTATAAAATCGACTCAGAAGATTAACCTTTAGAAGCTACTGATGACATAGATTTGAGCTGTAACGATCTGATCTCTATGCCCAGTCCATTAACTCACATATTGTCCGCTATGGGAGAGCCTAGGCCATCTTACCCTCACGGATTTTTATTGCATTCACAGCATTCGAACACTTGACCTTTTTCTTAAGAATGAATTCAATAGACCCAATACAAAGTCATATATTTATTTCTGTAACACTCAGTCTTGACATTGCGATCATTCCAGATACAATTAAGAAAGTTTCTTTTCATAGCGCTGCAAAAGAATTGAAGCTAAAAACCAACTAATAAAGCTTCAATTTCAAATTCATGTTTGCTAAAAAGCAACGAAATTAATGATCAGCGTACCCTATTATAATGACATTTAATCCACGAGAATTGCAAAAGGCTGTAGCAAGCATACTTCAAAATGTACATTTGTTTAATCTGCACCATTGTCATCATCAAATTCTTCAATCTTTTGCCCAAAACCTCTGGGCCCAGCTCTAGATCTAGCTCCAATTTTACCCTTTTTACCACTCTTCTTCTTCCTAGCAGCCTCTTCTTTCTCAAATTTATCTCTCTCCCTTTTCTGCAAGAAATCTGTTACAGCTATGTAGATTACCTGAGAAGTCCAAAGGATTCAGAATTAATAACAAACCCCTTGTCCAAATTATCAAATTCAGCTAAAAATAATAATATCTAAGTGAAATTTATTTACCCCAATTGTAAGAATGGCTAAACCGATGAAAGCAATGAAAAGAAGGGCTGATATTACTGTAGAAACGCCATCATCGCTTGTGGAGACTACTTCTTGCAAATTCTCTTCTGGCGTGACTTCTGATAGCAAATAATTTCCATTTACAGCAGAAAATCTCCAATTTCTTATGGGTTTTAGAGAAACGGCACTTGATGAATTTCCAGAATTCAAAATTTTTCTTGATATATGAGTGGATGGAAATCCAAAAATTGGGTTGTTCGATGGAGAAAATCTTACCACCCGTAACCATTGTACTGGGGGTTTACGCTTGAGAATCAAAGAGAGAGCTGGAGGAGATGATAAAAGGGCAGATGATGCAGCCATTTTCATCTGCTAATTATTGCTGCTACCACATCGTCGATCCTCCTCCAAAGTGTAGCCGTACTGTAATGTGGGTATGGGATAGTGCCACAGCGTTATCTTTCACATCTAAAGAATAGGTATGTAGAGCGTTTTGATAAGGGAGTCTTCAGTGCATGGTTGGCAGTGTGTCGAGTGGATAAGTTGCTTGTCGATTCGGCTCGTTTGTGGTCAAGCAGATGAGCTGCAAGCGCAAATGGAATAGTCAAATGGTTCATACGAGTTCACTTGTGAGCTGACCGAACTAGCTCGAGCACATGGACCGACTAGCGAGCCGCTGCTAGGCGAGCCTAGCCATACATTTAGCTACATTTTAAAATTCAAATTTGAACTTAAATTTTTTTCCTTACATTGCAACCTTTTTTGTCTATGACTATAAGGTCACACGCGTGTTTGGAAGCAATTTTTGTGGGATTTTAATTAAAATTATAGCCGTTATAGTCAACTTGTGGGCCCTATCTGTGAGAGAGAAAGTCAAAAATGGTGGCTGATTTGATAGTTAATGGCTAGAATTTTGATTAAAATCTTGATTAAAATTTCTCCCAAACGGGACCCACTCTCATCACATTTTTTTTTCTTGTTTTCATAATTTGTTTAGTATTATACCACTTCGAAGAAGAACTTTTCACTATCTAATCTCTACTTCTATATTTATTGTTAGCATTATAATATTACGTAATTTACGTAATGGCTTAACTCATCATCATCCTTCGAACCAAAAGAATTTATTCAGTTTCTTGAAAATTCGACAACAAGGTCTGAAGTGTTACAACGCTCGATAAGAAAAAATGAGAATTATTGTTCCTCATAAGCTTTGGTGATGATATTTCTTAAGCCTTTGATGCTCTATTTTTGTTGACCCTAATTGGTAACGCATATTTGATGACATTATATTTTGATGGTGATAATTTGACTCTTTTAAAGAATTTTTTTGCCGCTAAAACATTACATTGGATGAACCTAGTCATCACGTATCATAAATACNTTTGTTGTTTAAATTCTAAGAGTGTGTTTGGGAGAAATTTTTATGGGATTTTAATCAAAATTATAGCCGTTAAAGTTAAATCGTGGGCTCCACCTGTGAGAGGGAATGTCCAAAATGGTGGCTGATTTGATAGTTAATGGCTAGAATTTTGATTAAAATCTTGATTAAAATTTCTCCCAAACGGGACCCACTCTCATCACATTTTTTTTTCTTGTTTTCATAATTTGTTTAGTATTATACCACTTCGAAGAAGAACTTTTCACTATCTAATCTCTACTTCTATATTTATTGTTAGCATTATAATATTACGTAATTTACGTAATGGCTTAACTCATCATCATCCTTCGAACCAAAAGAATTTATTCAGTTTCTTGAAAATTCGACAACAAGGTCTGAAGTGTTACAACGCTCGATAAGAAAAAATGAGAATTATTGTTCCTCATAAGCTTTGGTGATGATATTTCTTAAGCCTTTGATGCTCTATTTTTGTTGACCCTAATTGGTAACGCATATTTGATGACATTATATTTTGATGGTGATAATTTGACTCTTTTAAAGAATTTTTTTGCCGCTAAAACATTACATTGGATGAACCTAGTCATCACGTATCATAAATACTGCACATTTATTACAAGATTAATTCGATTAATAAAAAATTAGTTTATATTGTATTCCATGTATGGTTAACAATAATGTTTTATGGTCTGCAACAATTATTTTTTTCCTAATATAATTGTTATGTTAAGTCATTATAATCGATTATAAAATCTCGTGCTCATATATTAGAGGTTCCTTAGATAAATTGGGGAGTATATGGAGGCGTAAACGCCACTTTCAGTGCACTTTTCCTCATATTCTCCAAAACAATATTGATTGAATTTAATTTATATTTTTACATAAATTTTGAATGAAATTATAATAATCTTAGAACTTTCCACCCCATGTGAGTATTATGTGAACCCCTGTGGGAACCCTAATGTATCCCTAACACTTCTCAAATTAGAATCGTGTGATTCGTAGTCGTCTCATATCCCCATGTGGATATAATTAGGCCAAGTAATTGGCACGTAGGTGTAGACACAAGCCCAAAAAACAAGGCAGCAGTAGAGCCTGTCGAGGTAGCAAGTGGATTTTGGAGAGCAGAAATTTGGGATGGCTATATTCACGTGGCCCTTGATGGTTTGCATCAGGTTTGAATCCGTTTGATGGGATAATACCATCAGTTGGCATGTGTTATGAGATTCATGCATATCTGAAGTTTGTTTGCCACTGCCCCTTCTCAAGTTTGCAGTTCCTCCCTCCTCATCCATTCTTGCAAACCTATTTCTATGTAAATCTGGATTAACATTGATGAAAATTCACCTAGTTACAATATGATCATGGGTAAAGAAGTGATACGGGTGACGGAGTGGGAGGCTGGGCTCCCCACCGACGATGATTTGCCACCCTTATACCAGTCTTTGATCCCACCAGTATTGGCCAAGGCTTTCAAAATCTCTCCGGAGCCACCCTATACATTGCTGGACGCGTGCCTCCCAGGACACCCTCTCCTCCCTTCGTGCTCCTCCTACTCAGGCAATACGACCACAAACGCCACCCCCAGCGGCTGCTTCAATTTCAAGCATTTTATAGACGATAAGAATGGCAATCATCGTGAAAATCCACTGCCCGTGTGGGATCACGAGATGGCAGAAGCGAAGCATGACGAACTAGGCACCACAAAAGGATCTGACCCCAAGAAGGCCCACAGGATGGAGTCCGCGGAAGCTGCGTCCGGCGCCGGCGCCACCTCCATTGAGAACTGTATGGATGATCAGTCTGTGGACGCGAAGGCTATGAAGATGGCGAGGCTCGTGTGGACCCCACAGCTTCATAAGCGTTTCGTGGAGGTTGTAGCCCATTTGGGATTGAAAAACGCGGTGCCAAAGTTGATTATGCAATTGATGAATGTGAAGGGATTGACTCGAGAAAAAGTAGCGAGCCATTTGCAGAAGTACAGGTTGTATGTTAGGAGAATGCAGAGGTTGTCGAATGAGGCCCCCTCGGTCTCTGATAAATTGATCCCCTCCATGACCGTGCCTCCACAGAGCTTTAACTAGTCATCCAGTGGTGTAGCCAATGGTTCTGGGCCTTCTAGCCACAAGAATGGGAATTCTAGTGGCGGTGGTGATAAAGATCACGTCGGCATGCCAATTCCGATGCTTTACCCTCCACTCTCCCTGCAGATTCTACCAATGCCAACGATGGGAATGGGGTACACTGCTACCGAGCAAATGAGAATGCTAGTGGGGAGTATAAACTCACCTAGTGGGTTTCCTGCCTATGAAAATCATTCTCATCATCATCACTATCAGCAAAAGTGTAATAGTAAATTAGTATGATTCAGCAGCATAGGGACTGGTCTGGGAACGGGCAAAATACTGTCATCTGCAAGTAGTAGTTGGAAGGCCTTGAACAGTAGAAAATGGTGAGATGTTTTTGCACTAGTGAGTTTTACGTGTTACATCTTTTAAAGCTTAGCCAAACTGGCTCTGAGTGGTTCTTTGTTCTGCATTGCACTCTTCCTGATGTATTCCTTTCACAGATTATGTTCATGGAATACTTTTGCTATCAAATTTAACTTTTTCTTTTGAGCAGTTCTTTCCCTAACTATTTATTAATATATGGCTGTGTTTTATTGCTCTTTAGATTTTCTTTCCTTGGTTTAGGAGCCTCATTTTTAGAACTTGGATGAGAATTCACTAATTCCCGAGAATTGTAAATTGCGTTCGAACAGCTGATTTCTTTTGTTTCTCAGTCACTGTCCTAGAAATATCTGCACAAATTCCAATGACAAGTTTTTGAAGTATCTCGGTTTGCAAGTTTTGGCTTCTGTTTGCAACTCCTTTAACATTTTGATCCAGTTACAGAGCATAGCAAGAAACTGATCTTTGAGATCATTAGAATGTGAATTTGAAATCTTAGTTGTTTTACATTTTTCTCTGTGCCTGGCAAATAAGAAACGTCTCACCGTCTCTTTTGACTGCAAGGATTTAAATTGTACATTACCGGTAATGCAACTTTCAGGATTTATCGTGTGAAGCCACACGTTTGATGATTTCAGATGTCTTTGATGGCTAACTTTAACGTTCAGATAACTTAAATGGCAGAAGTAGCGCGATTAGATGAGAAGAAGCATCCATTGTGGGATATCGGTCTTGGTGCTTCTTACTTATTTTTCTCATGTACAAATTGTGGATTTTTTTTCCCTGCTTTGTCCATGGTTTGAATTCGGTTAGTATGTACTAATACAAGAACCAGAAACTTGGTTTTGGTAGCTTAATTTTTTGGTACCCAATAACCTAAAACCATATACCGAAACACTTAGAATCTGTTTCGCCTTTTTCCTCCATTATCAGATTTACAGTTTCGTTTCTTCTTCCTTATTTGAGTTTGGATAAACCTTTTCACATGTTGGACTCACTTTTGTTACTGGTCCTATAGTTGAATTTTTCTCTTAATTGTGAAGAATCGGAGAAGGGGCTCAAGTGCTCTTATACCCTTCAAACAGCTGATGACATTATTTACCAGTTGTCTTTGAAACTAAACTTGTGACTTGTGAGAAGATTGATTTGTAATACTGGACATTGGAGTCTGAAGAAAATCAGTGGAGAAACTTTGAGCTTTACGAAACATTTAAGATCTTACGTGATTTGGAAGCAGGAAAAAGCAGTGAAGTGGAAATTTCTTCCTCAAATAAAATCTCGCCTACATGCTGCAAGTTGTTACTACATCCTTAACCTGTTCATATATTTGTCAATTTTTATACGATGTTCTTGTTTTTAATGAGTGTGCTGCATCTTGCTTTTCAGCAACATGTCAGTTATAGAACTTGGCGAATGTTTATCAGCAACCCTTGCAATTCTTTGCCTTGTATTACAATGAGTTCCGATTGTTCCCCTTCCTGTTTTGCAAATTGTCTTTACCAGGTTGCAATGAAGCAAAGTCAAAAAACAAATCATAGCTCAGCTCATTGATAGAATTAGGATTATAATTAGAAGATTACATTGTTTATGTCTTTTCCTTGTGCGTCCCTAAGGTAGGTGTGTTCATACTCGTCGATAGTTGTTCAATGAAATGAGAAGAATCGAAATTTCAAGTTTTGCATTGGCCAATATTTTCGTCTTTAGATGTTTAAGAAGACGAGTGAGAGCAAGACTGAAACACCGAACTTCTTCGGAATGAGAACTCGAGTTTTTCTATGGCGGCCACTCTAGGTTTGGTTTATGTGCACTTCAATGGGAGGTAAACCTATGTACTAACCTACCACCAAGAATAGCATTTCAACAAAACCTGCTTTCCTAAGTAAAAGCAGGACCCTTGAATTTCTTTATCAATCACACATGGATGGTACATGCAACAAGACTTAAGGTAGAGTACGAGAATAATGAAAAGAAATGTACGCTAGATTGCTACTATCATGGGGTGGGGTCAAGTTACTCGCTTCATATATGTATGAACTCAAAGAAGAGTTCTTCTCATGGCCCGGCCATCTATCCCTTCTCTTTCTATTTAGGAACTTCAATCTTGGAACGAAGTCCTAAATATTTTCATATCTTGAAGTGAATTGCTAGTTGTAGAATATTTTTCTTTTCAAATTTAAACCTAACTAAAATAACAAAGCTCCTCAGTTAGAGAAAACACAGTATAATAGCAAAAAGCAGGACCCTTGAATTTCTTTATCAATCACACATGGATGGTACATGCAACAAGACTTAAGGTAGAGTACGAGAATAATGAAAAGAAATGTACGCTAGATTGCTACTATCATGGGGTGGGGTCAAGTTACTCGCTTCATATATGTATGAACTCAAAGAAGAGTTCTTCTCATGGCCCGGCCATCTATCCCTTCTCTTTCTATTTAGGAACTTCAATCTTGGAACGAAGTCCTAAATATTTTCATATCTTGAAGTGAATTGCTAGTTGTAGAATATTTTTCCTGTCAAATTTAAACCTAACTAAAATAACTAAGCTCCTCAGTTAGAGAAAACACAGTATAATAGCCCTCTCGTACTAGAGTAGACACTAGATAGCAACACACATAGCACACCTTTTAATGACTCTTATCTTTGGCTTGATTTAATTATCTAATGTCAGCATATGCGAACAGTGTCATTCGATCCTAATAAATCAATTTGCTACTATTATAAATGTTGATGAATGAAATGAAATTAGATATCTTCTTGTTACTTCATTGATTGAATGATTGTGTAGATTTTGATGTTGAGTAGCTCTGACTTCATAAGGGTGAGTAAATAATAAAAAAAAGAGTTCGTGAGTCTCGTGACAATGTTACACCTATTAAAATAAATTAATTTTCGTTTAGTCAGTAATCATTAAATATTGTGTATGTTTTTTCTTGGAAAATTGTATAAAACACGACTATAATGATAAAAAGTGAATGACCTTTTCTAATAGCAAACTCATTGCACATAATTTAAAGGAGTAAAAGGGGTCGTTCAAATCTTATTCATCTTACATTCAAGTTCCATTTTTTGAGAATAAATTTTAAAAATGTATGGATAAAAAAGTAGGAATTTTTTTTTTTTAATTTACGTATGAAAATATTTTATGATGAGAACATATTGTTGAATATGAATTTTAAAAAAATTAAAATTTTAAAGTATCGAACTCAAACAGAGGTTTAGATCACACGTACTATAGACAAACAAGTGAACAAAACCCAATGCTACCAAGTTTGGTGAACATGAACATGGTTTTCTCTTCCGCTGCTCGGCCAAGAAAAAATTATGTGACCTGTTAGTGAGTTGCGATGTACACTCCTTATCTACTAATATTTTTGACATCTGGTAATAGTAATTCTTGTTAAAGACATCACATGTATAATGACATATTTTTCTTTAATTTTACTAGGCTAGGAAATGTTATTGGAGGGCAACATGGGGAGTGAAGATATGTTATCCATTGTTTGCTGTCCGCAGGGGCGGACCTATGGGGTGGCCTAGGTGGGCGGTGCCTCCCCCCCCCCAAAAAAAATTTTTGAATTTTTTTTTTATAATATGAAAGAAAAATGAATCAACATTCATTTCAAACTAATGTTTTCTCAAGCTGAATTTTTTTTTTTTTTAATAATATGAAATGAAAGGAATCAACATTCATTTCAAACCAATGCTTTCTCTCGCCTAAGTCTCCTCTTCTTCATGGTAAAATTAAGGTCGTATATTGTTAAATGGATACGAGAATGGTTGTGATAATACTGAATGACTGAACAAGAATAGTTCAAAACTTCAAATCTCATTTATTTTTGTTTAAATGATTTATAGTTACTCTCAAAGAGTGGAAATTGCATCGTCAAAGTGAAAAGTCTGTCTCCACTCTATAATCATTTCAAGTTCAATCGCGACAAAGAATTCTAAGATCTGACCCAAGGAAAAAGCTAGTAGGCAAGGCTTCCGTGAGCTATAGTGCTGAAACCAGTACTAAACGAAGTAATCAGTGTAAAATGATCGTATATTTGGATTAGATCAATGAATAGGAATAGAAGAATTCTTAGTTGAATTTATTTACGTTTTTGTAATGCATGAGATTCACGAGTGAAATTCTCAGTTGAAGTGACACTTTTAAGGAAATTTCGAGAGCATTTTAGCCCAGGAGAATCTAGTCCGACTGAATGTAATCAAAAGAAAGAGTTATGCAATATGATTGAACTTGAATGAGCAAGGATTGTTTCTCGGGTATTTGATGCATCGAAAATAAGTCTGACTCTTACTATTTCCTAGTCCCTTGTTGATTTACTTGTTGCATATGTTAAATAAGTTTCAGAATTTAAGAAATGTACATATAAATCTGTGACTTGGATTCTATCAAAGTTTGTGTAGCTCTTGATGATCAAGATTGTATACTCAATTTCTTTGTTAATTTGAATTACGAAATTACATTAAATTTTCTCTATTTCTCACTTTAATTATGGAACGTTATCAAAATATGAGAATACCTAGAGAACAATTGTAATAAAATATCTCTTACTTTAATTTTTTCATTACTTTTTGAAAGTTTGATTGTGTCTCCCAACATAAAAAGTCTGCGTCCGTCCCTGGAT